TGAAGCACGAGTAAAATCGAAATGCAGTCACTCAAACTCGCGTTTAGATTTACAAGTTTCTGTGAATTCCTGTATGAAACTACATGGAAACAATGAGACTTAGGAAATCAAGGAGATCCCCAATGCCTCTGGATTCCTTATAGCCTCCTAAACACCTCAAGGACCTCAGAACCCCTCCTACCTCATGAATTAGGCGGCTTCTTTGAAAAGTAGTCTTCCCCTGTTCAAGGTGCTCTTCAAGAGTTTTAGGCCCCTAAATCTATACTTTAATATTCGGGGGCATGTTAATGTTAGGGAGAAGGGCTTATTTGGACCCACATTCCCACTGCACCACAGGGTAGGGTCGTCGAACGACCGACCATGCGCATGGAGGAATTATCGGTATAGTCCCACTTCAGTACATAGAAAAGGGGTAATATGCCCAAAGCCCAAAGCCATATTGCATCTACTTCAGGGGGACAAATTCTAATTTCCCTTGGCTGTCAGCTTGTGCTCAGTGCAGCGGATTTTCCCCGTAGCCCCACTCTCCGAGGCCTTCGTCCTTACACCTTGCAGACCTTCATTCCCAACCGGGAACCCTTCAGACCAAAGCTCTGGGTCATAGATCCCATTAACCAAAGGTTTCAAGTATGGACTCCTAATATGGGCCCTTAGGCCTTGTAGGGGGAATCCAGGGACCCTGAAGGGTACATATATAGGTATAGAAGCATCCCAGAGGTAAGACCACTCCATACTAGGGGCCCATGGCTTCAACCTGAGAATTAATGACATCAGCCATATTGGAAAGGTCGCACGGTGTGACCTTTGCTGCTGCCATCTTAGGCGTGACTCACACCTAAGATGGCAGCAGCAACCATCAAGAGAAATGGTAGCAACGAGCAGTCTAGCAAGACTCGGTGTGCACATTGTCTGACGTTTGATGTCAAGCTTCATAGCAACCGTACGTAAATTCAGAACTTCACGTATTGGTAAAGGGCTCTGTGTGATAGCAAAGCAGATACTGGCGAAACAAAACATTCCATAACCTTTTTTCTACTTCATGGCCATGGATATGGTCATGCAGAAATGCGAGTACCTATCAGTTATAGACATTTTAGCTAGCCTCTGTCCCAAGGATCGAAGAACTCCTTCAACTGAGACCTCGCCATTCGACCAGCGCCGTAGTGAAATGCATTCGGGAATGTTTCGAAGTCCAGTAATTACCCCTTAAGCGAGGCATAAGACACCTTAAATTACATAAGGGATTTCATTTCAGTAGAATTTACAGGGAATGGGGCTCTCCAGGTCTGAGGGTTCGGTATTCGAGCCTCCAATACCTGTGGTTCTCCTTCATGGATTGGTGTTCAAGGCCTTTCTTGTTAGGGGTATGCCCTTAATGCCTTGTTGGGTGGCAACATACCAAGTGTACCTCTCCAAACCTCAGTACCTCAAGCGCTAGGGTTTGTCGGAGAGGTTTTGTTTGCTCTTGCAGCCGCTCCAAAACATGTGAGTAGAGGACAACCAACGTTTGGGATTCAGGGTTCAGGTAACAGATTACGCGTTCAACAGCGCATCTTTTTGAAAAGCCCATACAGCATAACAGACGCGTTTTCCACAACAATGCCATGACGTCAACTATGCATCATATAAGCTACATTAAGGCGAGCAGAAGTTGAGAATCCCAAAAGCTTGCATCTCAGATTTGCATCTGACTGGAATGGGCAGAAGGGCGACTGCTGGAAAATGTGCAAAAAAAGCAGCTGCACGTGGTTAAGCACTGGCGAGCTCCTCCAAGAAAGCCTGCGATGTGAGGATGACTTACCATTGTAATTGTACCTGAAATATCCAGCCGCATCTGGGATCATCTGGGGCAATGCCATGCGGTTTTGGGAATTCTGCAGCACAGGTGCAGCTTCGGGCGGTGAAGCCAACACGTGCGCCCTTGCACCGCAGACTACACGCTGCGCAACGTATGCATCGGCAGGTTCCAAGTTTGTTGGGGGAGGGATACGCAGCACGTGACAAGCAACGCGTTTGAGCAGAAGCAGTATGGGTACTTCTTTTCTTGAACAGCACAAAAGTCTGGAAAACCTATTCAGAAATTTTGCTTGGACGTTAGGCAACCAGCACCTGCAAACATGCAAACAAAGAGCCTCGGTGAACAGTAGATATTTTAGCATCTTGTGCAGGACGAGCAATGGAGAAGCTTTGCGGCAAGAGGTGTTACACAAAGGTCCCAGTCGGATATCCCGCAGAACCTCCCCTGTCAATTCGCTGTAGGTCCTAATGTTGTTGGAAAGGCTCGATGTTGAAGGAAGAGGAAGGAAATTTAAAGTCCTGCGGCTCCATAGAATTTGGAAAGCTTCCACTGCCAGCTGCCCATGCCCCTGAACACTATGGAAAGACCAGGATTGTTCCAAAGTCCGTGCTATCATCCGCACCAGCTCGCGCGCTGGTGATAGCGTCGGGACCTTACTTTCTTGCTCCTACCATCTTGCTCCTACCATTACCAGAATTATGATTCCGATTATTCTTATATGATTACGGTTATCCTTATTAGTACTACGGTTACTACTGCTAACTACTGGTTTCTAATCTTAATTCAATCATTGTTGGAGGCAGACTTGAGATTGCAGGAAGTATGTTGAGGACTCCATTAGGCTGGTTTGTAGATGGCATTCTCTAGCTGTTTCTCTAGAGATGTCCCTGGAAGAATATCGCAGCATCTTGTCCGAAGCCCTTGAGTCATAGGCGGTTGCCTGACACCCCAAACCCCCAGCCCTTGACAGAATGTACTGAGGTTGAAGCTTTTTCTGCGCGTCCTTGCTCCAGAGGCCCTTGCACAAAGAAAAATAGACGATCTTCAAGAGTGCATAAGGGGCCGCCGATTGTTTGAGGGCTTTGGTAGATTCCTGGAGTGTTTTAGCTTTTGCTTTGGGGGAACATGCGGCTGGGAATGTAGGAATTTGCAGAAAGATTCCTACCGACATGCCAGGGACCCTAAGCCCTGAGCCCCGCTTATCTTCACTGAAGTGGGTGCACGGTATGATGCCAGACTTCATGTATCTGCCACGGTCAAGTTGGGGCATAGAAGCCTCAACCTTGCACAATCTCAAACCTGAACCCTAGCGCTAGGGCTCCAGACAACGCAAAGTAGGTAGAATTTATAGACCTGAGGGCACAAAGTAAGCATTTTTATCGATTGGGACCCCTAAAGGTAAGCCTAGAAACCATGTCACAGGTGTTTTTGCGGCAGTTGGCCGCACTAGCAGCGCTGATGGCTGCTCGACACTCGCGCGGGGCTCAAGGTCTATGACCTGGGAGCTTGAACTTTCATCAACGACGCTCTCTCATGGGGCTTGTGTGATTAACGTACGAGGTATACCCAACCTCAAATGTGCCTCAGAACATGGAAGTGCCAAAGCCATCTCTCTTGTTATGGGGGACACCTCACTCCTTACATGCACATGGTGGTTTCCCTAATACGTAGGCCCCTAAATGCTATAGTCCTTATTTAGGGGGCCGCCAAAAAGGAACCCCTAATTTTGACAAACCCTAAAGCCTATACACCTCTACATGACCCCTATAATTCCTGTATAGGTACCCATAACTTTGGGAAACCTCAATCCCTAAACCCTATATACCCTACAAAACCCGTATAAGTCCTGTCAAGGTAGCCATAATTTTGAAAAACCCTAAGCTTATATGAACTGCAAAAACCTAAACCTTGTAACTCCTAGAAACTTACCGCGAATTCAGGGAAACCCCGCATATCCCTGAAACTTTTAGGGGTGTCTGCAAGGCTGTGGCAAGCACGCAGATGGCTCCGTACATTGTCTGCCAAGTTTACCTTGCGGAATAGCCGACAGGCTGCTCTCCGCTTCTAACTAGGGTTTAGGGCTTAGGGCTAACTAGCAGGGAATCCCGGAAGGGTCTAGAATTTAAGGGTTTGGGGGCTTAGAGTTTAACAAGGGCCACTGTCTGTTGAAGCCCAGTGTTGACAAAGAGGGTGTACAGGTTGAAGAGGGTCCACCTCCTTCAGTTTATTGTTTCCAGGTGTGTGGCTTCTGGAGCGAACTTATCATTAGGGGTGACATGTTGGCGCCTGACGTTTGGGGTTTGGGTTGGGAGTGTCTGGGGGGGTGGGTAAGCGAACAGCAGGAAGATGCAAAGGGACCTTCCGCACAGCGTCCAACATGCGCCGCCGCTATTTGCTATCAAATGCTTGGGATGTTGCCAACGTTGACGTACTCGTTAAGCTCCACAGGAGTATTGGACCCGATAGGGGCCCATAAATCTAAGATATCGTAAGCTACAGACGCCGTGATAGAAGCATTTACAATTTTGACAGCTCACCCAAGACAGGCAGAGACAGCGAGGGAGAGGAATAGGGAGAATGTGCGTGTGAAAGGGAGAGGGAGAGGGAGAGGGAGAGAGACTGCAGCGAGAGCGGCGGAGAGAGGAAGGCTCGGAGGTGTTCTCTGATCCACACATCCCACCGAGGGCTAGCAAAGTATCGAATATGTTCTGTAAAATATTGGGTTCAGGACCCAGAGGTGCTGAAGAAAAGCAGTGTATATTCCAGTGCTAGACATGCTGCATCGAGCAATGTTTCCATGTTCTGCTGGCATGCATGCCCAACGGTTTTGCAGCTGAATACCGGAAGCTCCATCCTGCCATATGCAGCAGACCCCCAGTAAAGCACCAGAAGGCCTAGCAACTCCCGGCCCAACTGTCCTTGCAATCCCATATGACCCCGGCAGTCCTCAAGGGGTGCCTGCGTTCGCGGGGTTTCCTATCGACTCCCTGCTCAACCCGGAGCCCATTAACCCTAAACCCCAAACCCTAAACCCTGACTCAACCGCTAGGCCATGAAGCAAGAGCTGAAACACGCCAGGAGGCCAAGGGCCGCAGAAACGGTTTGCACTTGACATTGGTATCCGTGGATCAAGTCGGAATTTAAGATCGATCCATCTCGTGCGCGTTTAGCGCGATCCCTGCCAGAAGCCCTGAAAGCAGAAATGCTGAGCCCTGGAAGGAAGTGCACTGACTATTCCACCTTTCAAAGTCTTGGCGAGAAGCTGGACAGGGCAGAAGGAAAGGACAAGTGGAAGCGTGTTTACCTCAGGGCCCGGCTAGGATCTTGAGCCTTGTGACCGGACTCTCCATGCAGAGACAGACGAGGTGACGATGACTCGCCACTCTTCGATTCGCAGCATCTCAGCCCCTCGCCTCCGGTCCTATCTTGGCCTGGTTTTGAAACACATGGCGGAAGTGGCTGTGGACTCAAAGCACTCTCGTTTCATTCAAGAATGTCCACAAGACTTCTTGGGGCTTCAGAATGAGAGTTCAGGGATGCACTGCCTGGCGAGGTTCGGTGCTTGTGGTTGTTTGTGAGGAGAGCGGACGAAGAGATACCGAGAGATGATGGCCAGCAACTCAATGCACCAAACTATCATGGATAATCCTAACTGAGGGACTGGGGCAGAGCATATACGGGCTTATCGGCTTATCAGGATATCAGCAACTCTGACAATCAGAACGTCACATGCTTAACATGAAGTTAGCGCCTGTGTAGCAGGCCAGTGGCGACGTCGATGCTTGTATGTATGCCAGCAACTCAGCCTCTATGCTTCCGAAGCTCAGGGTCACCCATGTTCATGCGACAAACTGCGCTCGACCTAATAGTTCTGGCTGATTCCTGCATGCTATTCTGCTGGCTGTGTGGACGTGATATGGCGCATTGTCCCTCGCGCCAATGCTGCCAGTTTTCTACATCAGCCTCATGTAGATTTGTCGCACACCGAGGTGGCTCCATAGTCAATAGCCACTACTGTAGCCTACAAAGGCCCATGCAGAAGAACTGAAGCCAGAACCCTCAAGACAGCCTCAACCCCGTTTCTTTGACCTCACAGCTTCAATGGGTCAACGAGGCTTTGCGCGGAGAGCTTCTGAGGAAGCATTTCGGGATTTGCAATCCGGCGCTCTTCCAGGCGAGAGCCACGGCTGAGGGACTTAAAGAAAACTGAGGGAGGTCTTCTGGAAAGCATGGCAGCGACAAGATAAGGGCACGTATGTTTTCCTCCATGAGCCTACAGTGATCTCTCAAGCGTGTTTGCCTGGCAGAGGTGTGCAACACTGGCACGAAGGTAGTGATTGAGGAGTACGTGGCAACGGTGTGCGAGGCTGGCGTAACCTTCTTGCCATTTCGGGTTTGGGCGGGTCAAAGAGGAGGTCCTACTACTAGAACCATGAGCAGAAGCAGCTTTACATATATCATTTTATCTATATATGAGTGTGTGTGTGCATGCAGTGCTGACTCATCTAAGCGCCTCCTAGCGCGCTCACCTGGTCAGGGAGGGAACAAAGCATCGTGCTTTGCATTGTGCTTTGCGCCAGGGGGTCATACTCAGCAACTTGGAGTCAAACTGATGTTGAGGACTTTGTTAGTAGAACTTTGCACCTTCATTTTCTTAGTTAGCCCTGTATACGAGTTTGTCACACCCACTTCCTACTTATCCTGGGTTCCGGAAAACTGTCACCCTTTGCATTCGTATGATTGTAGTTAGCACTCGCGCTTCAATGGTCGTTTCTGAACAGCTCCCCTAAAGGACCGTCAAAGAGAGAGCCTCCCTGTATGCTTGCACTGTCCCCATAATGCCCTTATAGACTTATAGATTCTTACAATCCCCATCGGGTATCGCTATATGACCCATTATGACCCCTACAATTCTTATATACTCTAACCGATTATAACCCCTACAAACCTTATATACTCTGACCCATTAGGACCCCTATAAACCTTGTATAATCTAACCCGATAAGCCCCGCAACATTCACAGAGTCATCCTGGGGATGAGCCTCTTTTGGGGGTTTTCCTCCGGACGGCTGGCCTTCATCCCCTCTCCTCCAGCGGTTTAGGGTGTAGGTATGCGTAAGTATTTGTAGAAAATGGGTGGGATAATTCATTCCCAGGCTTATAGGGAACTTCATGATTTCAATGAATCCTTACCCTAAGCTTCTCCAGGGTGTACTCACATCAGAGCCCATTTATGGGGATTTTTTGTCAGTTCCTTCATTCTCGGTTAGCAACGAGCCAGATGTCTCTGTGACGCCCCATAAACCCTTTATGGCGACCCCCATCAAAGACCCTATATAGCCCCTACACACCCTATACATCCCTAAATCGGTACCCTTAACGCTTAAGCCCCTTAACCCTTAAACCCTTAAACCCTAAACCCTTAAACCCCTAAAGCTGATGACGGAGGCCATGGCCTGGGTGGGTTTTTCCTACAACAACTCTCCAGCAGCCAGAAATGATTCTCACGCCAAGAAGGCCAGGGTAAGGGCTTAGGGTTCAGGGTGGAAATGAAGGGGTGGAAAAGAAAATGCAAACTATTGTACTGGGTTGTATTGGAACTACTGCAAGGATCCATTCCTTGATTCCTAGCTAACCCAAGGTCAGGCAGGGTTGGGACTTTAGAGCATATTGCCCGCAGGTTTTTTTTGAGTGCAAGGCTGCAGGTTCAGGATTCGAGGGCTTAAAAGGTTCAAAGCCCAATGTAGGATTTTACGGCCTAGAGGTTCTAGGGCGCAGGTGATGTCTGGGCAAAGTGCTGTGGGTGCTGAGGTTTGATGAGTTCTGCCGCCGTTCGAAACTAACCCAACAGGTTCCTGAGTGTGGACCCCCGTGATCCCCCTGTCATCCCCAGATTTTCCGATGGTTCTGAGGGTCCCCCCATGCTGAGAATCTTCCAGATGACATATTGATTTGAGCGTCGCACCCCTTGCAGGACGCCATTCACGAGCGCTTGGCCTTCTTCAATGAGACCGCTTCACAGTAGTACAGTGGCCATTGCATGCAATTGCCAAAACCTGCGTAGCCCACGGTTAGCGATCGCAACGTCATGCAACATTTGCCCGGTGAGCTCGGTGGATGTCACTAACCCTTACAGGATGTGCTTGGCTGCTTGTAGCGCTGTTCGCTTGCTTTCAGGACCAAACATGGTTTTGGTCGAAGTGCCCTTCTTCTTTCTGGTGGCGCATCAGCAGACCACTCAGAACAACTTTTGGGGAGCGCTTGCCTTTACAAGCGGAAATCAATCTTTGTCCTGGTTCCGTGTTGCGTTCCTTGGGCTTGCTCCGAGGCAGCTGCCCCACCCAGAAGTTCATATTCATGAGTAGGCTGCAATTATGTAGGCCAGAAGGCTGCAGGATTTTATTCTTAGCCCCGAGGTAGTTCATTCTCAGACTGAAGGTAGCATGTCACCCAGCAGAAGCAGCAGCAACAGCAGCAGCAGCAGCAGCAGCAAGGGCAGCAGCGGCAGCAGCGGCGAGCGGCAGGATCAGCCACAGCAGAGATCAGAATTGCAGCCTGCAACAAGGATTCGAGGCATACCGGGCATAGTCAAGATCAAACGCTGGAAACCTGGTTGGTGCTACATCGGACCCTTTGTGATCTGGCCTAACTCTAAAATGCAGATGGCACATGGTGCTTAAACCCTGTCGTGGCCATACAAAGAGACCCTTCGCGACAGCAGGTCGGCATGTACCACTTCGGCGTAGTCAAGGTGCAATCGGGGATCATGGCTTGTAGGGCTGGCCGCATACGTCTTGATGTGTTGATACATTTATTGAAGTTACGCTTGGCGCGTAGCTGCGGACCTTTCATGTTGCTGAGCTGTAGCGTAACTCCAGGCAGCCTAATTTTGAGGCTTGTTTAGAGACGCATGGGATCATCTAAGGTTATAGGGGCCATAGGGGCATAAGGGGAATGGACAGAAGTACGTACCAAGCTGAGTGCACTTATCCAGACCGGAATCTTGGCTTGGCATCGGACAGGTAGATGCCTCTAGCGGTTCCCTCAAACATTTGGCCGAGGCCTTTCATCAAAGGTTGGAACTGCAGGCCCCCTGACAGGGGCCCCTATGTCGGGCTAATGGCTTATGTATTGTGCTTTTGGGTCTGTCAGTCCTGAAGTTATTCAGGATCCATCTTCACTTTTTTTCTGGCAGCTCCACTTAGCTGTAGTACGCTAGTTCAGCCCGTTAACTGCCAGGTATGAACCCAAAATTGGCAGTAGCTGGAGTCACAGGGATCAGGGCTTGATAGGAAAGCACACTTCAGTTATACAAAGACGTATCAAACAATGGAAAGGCTTCTGCCCCAAGGAGGTATCAAAGGCTACGGCATTTGCAAGCCGCCTGTACGGGGTTGCTGTTAAGGAACTTAATATGATTTACCGTAAAATGGGTCTAGAACAAAAATAAGGTTTCCTTGTTACAGTAACTGAGCTGTAGCTTCTTTACAGCAACCCAGTGTAAGTTTCAGGATTGTTTCTGCTGACGGTTCAGGGCATTGTAGCAGGTTCCAAGGCTACAGGGCTTCGTCTAAGGGCTCACGCAAGGTCTAGAAAAAGGTAGAAGTGTGTCGGGTTTTGGGATGGTATAGGGCTTACTGTCTACGTTCCCCGCTCGGGGAGAGCTCCTGAAAGAAGGTTTCCTGAAACACCCTGGCTCAGATTTTAGTTTCGCGTGTTGTAAAAAAACACCTGGAAATCAAGTTCCTTGCACTGAAATTCCTCAACCACCCAAAAACACCAAAACCCCTGAGAGGCTTTACATTTGAATGGTCTCCTCCCACGGGTCATGAGCGGAACGTCTGCTGGATCCATAGTGCTGGGGGCTGAGAGAGCTGCTCGAGAGAGTTACCTAGACTCCCAAATACCTCTGTAAAATAGTGGCGGCTAACTCTGCAGTACTGCGTATATCATGGGGCTACGATGCCCCTGCCCCCCATTATATGGGCCACCAGAAGTTAAGGTCTTTCTTAGGGATTATTAGAATTGGAAGGGCGTATAATGTCTTTCAGGCCTTCTTAGTTGGGCGGGTATTTGGGGGTCCCAGTGTAATCCTATCAGTACACGGGCTGAACTGTGGGGAACGTTTGGGCTGCAAAGGTATGATGCGTTTTCGGATGTGCAGGGCGCAGGTTTGCCAGGGATTCAGCAGACACGTGCATTAGTTTTTGGGCCTTCACAATGGAAACCAAGTTATGACTGTCATTATTAGTACCACTCTTAGCACAAATATTAGCATAACTATTGCTATTATTACTATCTACAACTGTTTACTAATATTCTTATTACTACAAGCAACTAGTACTACTATCAGTATCATTGTTATTATCATTGTAATGACAAGTGAATGCATCAGAGGGGATGGTTGAGGCGCCACATGGCATTTAATGAATTGATTTGCAAAGCACTGTCGAAACATTGTGCGTTAGATTCAGCACAAATGTGGGGTTCTCGTCCCAAGAATAGCATTTTGAGGTATATCTTGGAGTCTCACTATGTATCGAAACTACTTGTAGCTTACTTTGCAGGGTATCATGGTAGTATGACGTAGTCCCCTAGTAGGTGCGGCATGCTGGGCGTGAGGACAGATGATGTCCGCGGCTAAGCAAGGCAGACA